CTCAAGGACGACGGACGATACGCTGCCGTGGGCGGCTCGGCAACCAGAATACTGGCTACGCTGGTGTTTGGATCGCTGTACGGGCTGTTTTCGCGGAAACGGCTGGGACTGCTCGTCCATCGACAAAACCACCGCGACATGGCCACGGTGCTGCAGATGGTGCAGGAGCAGCAACTCAAGGTAGCAAAAGACACGGTGTACGAGGGGCTCCAGCAATCGGCCGCGGCACTCCAGCATCTGCACGAGGGAAGAGCCTGCGGAAAGGTGGTCGTCCAGATCACACAGTAGTCTGGCCAGTGGTTGCAGCGGCGTTTATACAGCCACAGAATAAACTACTGCCAGAGTGTTACCACTCGTCGTCGTCGTCGTCATCGTCAGAGTCGGAGCCAGCAACGGCCTTGACGCGGTTCTGCAGTGCATTGCGCAGAGCGTCGGCAAGATCATCGCCCGTCCCGGCATCGGCTGCCTTTGGAGACACCGCGTCGCTTGCCACCGATTTCAGGGTCGTGCCGGTCCGGATGGCTGCCAGCAAGTCAACCGGTGCTCCTGATTTGGGTGCAGCCGAAGCCACTGGTCCGGCCGGTGCTGCAGGGGCACGGGGCGGGTTGGGAGGAGGCATGACGCCTGTGGTTAGTGCGGTTCGAACGGCGGTGTGCAGCGGCCACGGCTGTCGATTGAACACATACCTGTAGGAGGAGGAGGGGGCGGAGGGGGAGCGCTATTGACGGCGACGGGTGGTCCCGGAGGACCTCGCGATGGGATGGATGGCGGACCTCGCGACGGAATCGAGGGTGGAGCGCGATCGGGAATCACTGGCGGACCTCTGTCGGGAATCGATGGTGGCGGAGCCCTCTCTGGGATCGACGGAGTTGGTCTCGAGGCCGGAACGGGAGGAGCGGGGTTGCTAAACGATCCTGTCGCGTGAGCACCCAAGCTGTACCTCTGCTTGGCGGAGGTGGGGGCGGGGCTCTGGAACCTGCTCGATTAGCCATCGACTGCCGTACTTCTGCTGGGCGGTGGTGGAGGGGGAGCGCGCTTGACGGCTGGCTCGGAGGCGGTGTTGGGAGCGGCAGTAGGAGCAGATGTCAGCGAAAAGTTGCTGCCCATGCCGCCCACCAAGTGGGCGTTGTCCTTCATGAACTGCTTGACGACCTTTTTCTGTCGCTTGTCCTGCAGCTGTTCGTCGGTGATCCCGGCCTTTTGGAAGATGATTTTCCATTCCATGGGGATGTTTTGGACAGAGAAACCCGACTGGGCACTGTAGCCGACATGCGAGACGTGCTGGAAGTCTGACGGAGCGCTGATCATGCTCTTGTCCAGCTTGCTCTTCTTTGCCGTGTCCTTTCGTCCAAACCCAAAGAAACCGCCCGAGTCCTTTTTGCTCTCCTTTCTCTCGAGCCCCTTCTCTGCTGGAACTCCCAGAGCTGCCGGAGAGGGCGATGGCGCCGGAGCCGCAGCCGACAGACGAGGAGCTGGAGCTGCTACGGAGAGACGAGAGGCTGGAGCCGGAGCCGGCTTGGGGACATAGCGCTCCTTGTTGTGCACCCGCTCCAGAAACTGCGATGCCTCGGCCTCATCGGCAAAGCTAAACCCCACCATGCATGTCTGGCAGAGTGAGCCGGCGAGCCGTTACCTGTCCAACAAACGAATGGAAAAAGGGGCGGTCGGCATAGTACTTGATGTCGCCAATCAGGGGGAACTCCCAGACACTCCTCCCCGTCTAGGGTAAGGGGCCGTCCTCGTACCCGCAGGTCCACTATTCGAAATAGAAACGTGCCATTTCGCTGTGAGCAGAGAGCCGCAGCCCCTGTCAGCGAATACGAATACTCTTTGTGATTCTGGGCCTGGTAGAGGCGGACGGCGGTTGAAGTCAGCACCTAATAAATTAGATGCCGGCACAGTCTTGCATTTCCATCGTTGCAGGCCTGCTCCACCAGCCGGACTTCTTCTGTTGACAACGTGGCCGTCATCGATTGTTTATTTGGATAAACCACACCGCACAGACCGGTCGCCGCCAGCTCTGGCCACTGCTCTGCAAACAACTGTCCCCAGTCGCACGTTGCTGATCCTCTCGATGGCTGCGATTGGCGTTTGGCGCGCTCGGCAGTCAAACCACGGCTGTGTCGTCTGTCGTTCAGTGCAGAGTCAACCGACGAAACAGCTCGAGCAACCAGCGCAGAAAAGAAGGCATTCAAGAATTGGTTTCTATTTAGGCTGGTGATTTCAGACTTATTCAGCGTCGTATGGTGTAGTGGTAGCACATTAGATTCTGATTTCGGAAACTTCTGAAGACTTGGGTTCAATCCCCAATATGACCTACTTTTTTTTTCTTTTCCGACCACCCTCGACCCACTTCCCGCCCTCGTTGGTCAGTAATTTTGGGGTTTCTGAAGTAAACAACATTTTGAGTGCTCAAACAAGATGGTGGTGTCCAACCTCTTACACATAAGTGCACTTCCTACTAACCCCAAACGAAACTCTTAGATATCCTGGTCAGTGGGATATCTAGTGCAGTAGCACTAGTTGACACTCTTCATCAGTCACTGGACACTTGATAGTTATGGTTGATCGTTGTCTTCTTCTGTACTTTTGGATCCAAGTAGTAGTTGAATAGTTGCACATGTTCTTGACAGCGTTCCGGTCTCGATTGATGCATCCCAGTCGGTTGGTTTCCATTTGATATGTTAATAGAATGAATTGTT